CATCATCATCATAATCATCATCGTCGTCGTCGTCGGCAGCAGCAGCAGCATCACCATGATCATCCTCATGATCCTCATCATCCTCATCATCATAATCATCCTCACCAGCAGCATCAGCATCATCAGCATCAGCGTCATCATAACACTTGTTTTCCTCCCTTTTTATTGTTCCTACTCATCATCATCATCATCATCATCATCATCATCATCATCATCATCATCATCATCATCATCATCAGCGTCATCAGCATCCCCTCTTCATAATCCGCTTAAGCAGCATCCGATGATCATGCACTCATTTCTTCGTCCTCGGCATCTTCATCCGTAACAGCATCATAATCCTCTATACCTTTCACCCCTCCCTTCCTCCCTTTTCCTCCCGTTTACGTTGTGCGGACTTTGAGCAGAGCTCGCAGCATCGCGCAGCATGACACTTGTGGGCAAGCGAAAAAATCCACCGACCCCTTGTGGGTCTCTGGGCGTGTGAGACTCTTCCCCCCACCTAAGCCCCCCGTGGGACCCCGAACCAGAAATTTGACCCCCCCCCTTTGGCCGCGCACGACCCCCGGCCGAGTCGCTAGGGCTCCCAACTTCGCGCTTCGCGCTCCGCGAAGCGCGAAGCGCGAATAACTTCGCGCTCTCGCGCCGCCCCCCCAAAGGGAGAAAAGGAGGACGAGGAGGAGGGGGAGAAGGAACGAGGACCGCGAAGCGCGAAGCGCGACTCACTTCGCGCCCTCGTGGGAGCCCTTGTGAACTCACCAGGGGGGGGGTCTGGCCCTGCCCAGGCTCGCCCTGGAGCTCCAAGACAGGAGGAGGAGGAGGAGGAGGAGGAGGAGGAGGTAGGAGGGGAGGAGGAGGAGGAGGAGGAGGAGAGGAGGAGGAGGAGGAGGGAGGAGAGGAGGAGGAGGAGGAGGAGGAGCTCGGGCACCGGGGCCCACCCGGGTTCCGGCCCACTGGGCCGAGGCGGCCCAGAGACGGCCTCCAGAGGGCCCAAAATGGCCTCCTCCTCCTCCTCCTCCTCCTCCTCCTCCTCCTCCCCCTCCTCCTCCCCCTCCTCCCCTCCTCCTCCCCCTCCTCCTCCTTCTCCCCCTCCTCGCCCTTCCCTCCTCAGGTCGTGCAAGAGGGCCCCCAGGAACAGAAATCGCCCTGTTCCCTACGGACAACGCAGATTCCAAGCACCTCCGCCTCTCGGGTGTTCGGCACGCCCAGGACGGCCCAAAGGGCCCCCAGGAGGGTTCCAAGACGGCCCAAGAAGGCCCCTAGGCTATTGAAAAGAAACCCCAGACAGCCCAAGAGGCCACAGGACGACCCCAAGAAATGGCCCAGAAGGGGAACCGGCACGGAAATTTCCAGCCTTCCGCTCCAAGACGCCCCCAGGTTGCCCCAAAGAAACCTCCAAGAGGTCCCAGGAAGCCCCAACAAGGCCCCAAAATGCCCCCAACAGCCCCCCAGGATTCCTCCAAGAAGCCCGACAATTGCTTCCAATACTGTCGTGGAATGCAACCCTCGACGCGTAGTAGTTTATAGAGGGGTCGGCGGATGTGGCGTAAGCCTATAGAATCACAGCGATAGTCAATTGCACCTCAAAAAGATGTGGTGAGACAGAGTGCCGGATGGTGAGGAGAGAGAGAGAGAGAGAGACATAAAAAGAGAGAGAGAGAGAGAGAAAGACGAAGTTAAGTGGAAAAAGGAGAGGTTCACAAGGGAGCTTAGCCAGGATGCCCTGACCGAGTAGGCACAAGCAAGATTATCCAACCCACAACCAGCACATCCAATTTAGCCCCACAGGTCCCACCCTTGTCATGACAGTGCTGGCGCCTGCAGTGGCGCGCCACAGTGCAAGGCCAATGATTCAATGCCCCAAACATTCATCGAAGATAGCAGGGTCCACGTAACGATGCCCTGGCAGTCAAGGATAGGCCGATGTAAAGATGCTCGTGACTATTGCCCTCGCCGAATGTCAGGTAAAATGCAACATCCAACCACCACCACCCATACTCAACCTCTCCCAGTCCTCCTGGAGCAGGCGCACAATATTACGTGCTGAAAACATGAGCATGAGATTGGCGGCCTAAACTTGCAAGCTGGGCGGCCTAAACTTCGGAGATTGGCGGCCTGACCTTCCTTCCAGCAGATCCCATTCCTCAAAATCTCCCACCTACTCCTCCTCCTCCTCCTCCTCCTCCTCCTAAGCCTCATCTCCACCAGCCTCAACCTCTTCATTGGCATTGGCCTTGCCCTGCACATGCTCAGTGGCAAACGATGGCACTGTGTATCCTGACAGATGGCACCTCTCCGTCCCCCTCCTCCTCCTCCTCCTCATCATCATCATCATCATCATCATCATCAGCAGCAGCAGCAGCAGCGGCGTCATCAGCATCAGCATCAGCATCAGCATCAGCATCAGCATCATCATCATCATCATCATCATCATCATCATCATCATCGTCGTCGTCGTCGTCGTCGTCATCATCATCACCGTCATCATCATCATCATCACCACCATCATCATCATCATCATCATCATCATCATCATCATCATCATCGTCGTCATCATCCTCATCGTCATCATCCTCGTCATCACCATCTGCTACCATCATGCTCTCTCCACTCAATCCCTCCTCCTCATCACCATCACCCCTCCTCCTCCTCCTCCCTCCTGCATCCTCTGGCCTTGTAAATGCATCCTCCCTGGCGCACCGCCAGGACTGTCGCCGGGGCGGGCCAAGCGCTTCCCCGAAGCTCTCTCCGCCGCGCACGGTCCTTCAGCCTCAGAGGGCCCCGACAGCTGCACGCGTGCAGGGCGGGCCGTCTTCAGCACGGGGCCCTCGCCGCGGCGCCGCGGCACGCTCGTCTTCAGCCAGAGAGACGAGACAGCCGCTGCTCGGACGAAGGGCGGGTCGTTTACACAGTGGGGCTCCCGCCTTGGCGCAGCGCACACTCTTTCCTTTCTGATGTGTGAAGGTACATGTGTGAATATACACATACACGTAACAGGAAATATATAGATATACACGCCTTTACAGAACAGTAAAAATAGGGAGAACCAAAAAAAAACTGATGGAGTGCGAGCTCTCGCCATGGCGCCAGTCGCACTCGCCTTACACGAATCCAACGGTTGCACAGATGGAGGGCGGTTGCATTTCAAAATGGGGCTCTCGCCTGAGACATCCTCCTTACCTTACCACCTGCGTACGATTGTGCAACAGCTACACGGATGGAGGGCAGTCCCTCTTCAAAATTGGGCTCACGCTTCAGTCTTCGTACTGGTCCGACCAGAAATATAAAACTGCGAAACTCTTACACGCACGGATGGCGGTCCCGTTTCAAAGCGGGGCTGTTGCTGGGCACTTCCTCGGACATTATGATCCCCTAACAACCTGATTTGTAGCTCGAAGGATGGGGAGCAGCTTCTTTCAGTAAAAGACTTCCGCCTGAATTGGGGAACCACGGGGCGTTCGAACTTCAAGAGGGCGTTTCGCGAAGTCGAAGAACTCGGGTTGTGGGCCTAGCAGGGGGACTTGGGACGAGAGCGTGTGGTGCAGCATCGGCGGCGCATCTTGGGCTTACTCTGGTCCGCATTTATCATCCTCCATCCCTTTTCCTTGTAACTCACTCCTCTTTGTTGCACCTGCTGGCGTGTCCGCAGAGCGGGCCGGTCGTTGGGCCTGAAACCCCCTCACCTCGTATGGGACTGAAACTTGAGCTTGAACTCTACAACAACTTCACGGATGGAGGGAGGGTCCTTTCTCAAAATCTGGCTGTCGCCTTAACACCGCGCACGTTCGTCTTAAAAGCTTGCAACAACTTCGCGGATGGAAGGCGATTCCGTGTCAAAATGTGGCACTCGCCTTGGCGCGGCGCACATTCGTCTTGACAGTTTGCAACAGCTTCACGGACGGAAGGGGTAATGTTCAAAATGCGGCTTCGCTCAGCGCCGCGTACATTCGTTCTAAAACAGCGCAACAGCTTCTCAGATGGAGGGGGCTACTTTTCACCATGTGGCTCTCGCCTCAGTGCCGCGCACGTTCGTCATACACTTGTGCAGCATGTTCACGGATGGAAGGGCGGTTCCTTGCCGAAACGTGGCTCTCGCCTTGGCGCCGCGCATACTCATTCGAAGAGTGCGCAACCGCTTCACGGATGGACGTGGGACCGCTTTCAAGATGTGCCTCTCAAAAGCTTGCAACGGCTCGACGGATAGAGCGCGGTCTCTTTTCACGGTGCGGCTCTCGCCTTAGCGCCGCGCAGCGCCAAACGTGTCCGTAGGCCAGGTGTGCCTGGAGGTTTCGCTTGTCGGCACAATTTACGATCCCGAATGTCTAAGGTGCCACAGCTGCACGGATAGAAGCCGGGTCCTTCTCAAAATGCGGTTCCCGCTTCAGCGCCGCGCACGTTCGTCTGAAAAGTTTGCAACACTTACAAGGATGGATGCCGGGACCTTTTCAATATGCGGTTCTCGCCTCAGCGCCGCGCATATTCGTCTTGACTGCTTGCAACAATTACAAAAGTGGAGGTCAGGTTTCAAATGCGGCTCTCGCATGGACGCCGGGCGAACCCGTCTGAAAAGCTTACAAAAGCTACAGCGACTGAGGCTGTTCCGTTTCCAAAATACACCTTCTTGAAATATGACCTCTAGCGCGAAATGTGCAACAGCATCACGAATGCAGGGAGGTACGTTTTTACATTGGAACTCTCGCCAGAGACCTCCTCACATTAAAAGATCCCACATGGGAAGTTGTTGCACCTGCTACACAACTGGAGGCCAGCACCTTCTCAAATGGGCCTCTTGCGTAAGCGCCGCATGCACTCCGCTCGAACGCCTGTAGCAGCTATGAGGATGGAGGGCAACTCCTTTCCAAAACCTACCTGCGCCTTCGAAGCTTCCAACACTTTCTCCGAATTTCACCATACAAGGGGGTGGTCTGATTCGGGGGGTCTGATTCAAACTGTACTGGAGTGTTCCACGGGGGTCCCCTGATTAAAGCTGTGCGTAGCCCGCCTAGCTTTTAGCGGAAGAGGTTCGCTCTCGCCCCGCAGATCAAAAAAAGTGTTCCGCGGGGGTCTGGGCAGAAGGCCGCCCTTTCATGGCTGGTCCAGGGGTGGTCTACAGCTACTCGTCTGGGAGGGCTGTGACCCTTCAAAATGAAGCTCTCGCCCTAGCGCCGTGCAGCCGTCTCCAAAGCTTACAGCAGCTTCGAAGCTGAATAGCGGTTCGTTTCAGAATAAGACTCGCCGCAGCGCCACGTCTTGCGTCGCGGACCTGGCGTGCGCGCAGGTCGGTCGAGCGGCACAGGGCATCTGTGCGGCGAAGTGTGCGCAACCGTAGCGCCACAACCATTCATTTTGAGTTGTCGCCACCGCTTTGAGCGATGGTGTACGATTCCTTTCCAAAGTCGAGCTCTCGCATGAGACTTCCGAACATTTAGCGGCCAGAAGCTCGAACGTGTGTGACAGCTGCACGGATGAAAGGTGGCTCCTTTCCAACTGAGGCTCTCGCATGAGACGTCCTGTCATGCAATGACAAAGATGCATTTTCTGTGCAAATGTTACACTGATGGGGCCGATTCCTTGTCAAAACGGAGCTATCGCTGGATACCTCGCTGGTCTTCACGACCCTACCCGCCTTCCCCGTAACTCGCCACAAGGATGCATAGCAGTTCCTCTTCCAAAAAGGGTTCTCGTCTGGATGGCAGGCCCATCGGTCGTTCGACTTTCAAGGGGGCGTTTCTAGCTGTGGAAAGAAAACTAAAAGAACTTCTGAGGAGGACGGGAGGATGTGATGCGGCATCGCCGATGCACCCTGGAGCTACTCTGGCAGTCCGCTTCCTCCTCCTCCCTCCTGGGGAGCCCCCTTCAGCCTGGCGGCCTCCGCCCAGGTGCACGTGTCCCAGACCTTCACGTTGCCCGACCCCGTGCCGCAGACCAGGTACGTCCCGTCCTGGGGGGCAACGGAGGACCTTGGAGGGACTCCTCGGGGGCATCGGAGGAGGAGGAGGAGGAGGAGGAGGAGGACGTGGAGGAGGAGGAGGAGGAGGAGGAGGAGGAGGAGGAGGAGGAGGAGGAGAGGAAGGAGGAGGAGGAGGAGGAAGAGGAGGAGGAGGAGCCTCCGAGAGAAAGCCTGGGAAGGCACCGGAAGCCTCGGAGGGCCTCGCAGGGCCTCGCAGGCCCAAAGGGGGCTGGAGAGGATAGCACGCGACCCCCGCCGAGCCGCCCGTGCTCGCGACCCCCCACGAGGAGCCAGAGAGGGGATATGGACGAGTTCCTGGCCTGCGAGGCCACGTTTCTGATCCATGCCCTGCTCCCCCTGGCGTGCTGAGTGGGGGGCAGCAGCAGGGGGTCTGGATCGAACGTTGATCGTCGGCAGTCCTGGGTGCAGACGCACGCGGAGACGGCGTTGGAGAAGCAGGCGAGCCTCGGGCGGAAGGCGAAGAAAAGAGTGTCGAGGAGGGGAGCACAAGGAAAGAGCAGCAAGAGGAAGGGAGGGAGAACAAGAACGAGAACGAGAACGAGAAGGAGAAGGAAAAGGAAACGGAGAAAGGAAAAGAGGAGGAGGAGGAGAAGGAGAAGGAGGAGGAGGAGAAGGATAAAGAGAGGGGGAAGGAAAATGATGGGGAGAAGGGGGAGGGAAAACAGGGGGATCAGAAAAAGGAGAAGGAGAAGGACAGGGAGAGAAGAAGGAGAAGGAGAAGGAAAAGGAGAAGGGAAGCAGAAGCAAGAGCAGAAAGCGGAGGAGGAAAAGGATAAGGAAATGGAGAAGGAGAGGCAGAAGTATAAGCAGAAAAAGAGGAGGAGGAGGAGGATAAAAGAAGAAGAAGAAGAAGAAGAAAACGAGAAGGAAGAGAAGAAGAAGACAGAGAAGAACAAGGACAAAAAGGAAGAGAAGGAGAAGGAAAAGGAACAAGAGAAGGAAAGGACAATGATTAATGGATGGAGAAAGGAGGAGGAGGAGGAGGAGGAGGAGGAAGAGGAAGGAAAGGGGAAGGAACATAAAAAATAGAAAGAACAAAAAAAAAAAAAAAAGGGCTAGAGACGAGGGGGGGAGGAGGAGGACAAGGAAGGAAGACAACGAGGGAAGTAGGGAGGCACCGAAGAGGGAGGGAACGGACAGCGAAGGAGGAGAACGACAGGAAGGTGAAGGAAGAAAAACAACAAAAAAAAAAAAGGGGGGGGAGAGGGGCGGGGGGAGTACGGAAAGGGAGGGACGCAAGCTAGGCGCCCTCGCGCCATCACTGACATGTGACCCGCACGCCCACTGGGCCGAGTGACCTGAACTTTTTGTTTTCATCACCGACGGGTGCCACACCGGACCCGGAACACCCAGGAGACCTCATCGTGCCACGCGCAGTCTGCAAGAGGAGCTGGGTACGTTGGAGGAGGAGGACGAGGAGGAGGAGGAGGAGGAGAACGACGACGAGGACGAGGACGAAGAGAAGAAGGACGAGGAGGATGCTGTTCCACCGCAGCGCCCACACTCTATCAGCATCCAATTCCAGGTCTGCGGGGCCAGACAAAGTAGCACAGAGACACAAAAGAAGCTAAAAGGAGCAGCGGTGGGCATTCTGCACGAGGAGTTCGTTGTTCCTGGGGGCGCGCCCCCCCATCGAAATCGGACCATCGCCGTTCGAGCGAGTCGCCCTCGAGCACGAGTCAGAACCACCATCACTCCCCACCGAACAGCAGGCCCAACCCAACCACGGCAGCAAGGCAGAATCATAAAAAGGGGGCACGCCCCACAAAAACGAGCACACAACAGAAAGAGAGACGCCGGGGCACACGAATGCCTCGAACGACGTCGGGGACCTGGCGCGGGGCGCGGGAAGACAGGGGGAGAGCAGACAACTGCCGCAAAGCGCCGCAGGTGACACGGACTTCGTCGGGAACCTGGCGCGGGGGGCGGGGGCCCAGAGGCTCGTGAGCAGACCGTTCTAGGCACCACATGCCATGTGCAAGCATGCGTACTGATTACTAGCTGCACGAGGGAGCTAGCCAACCAGAAGCCACGCTCCACCCTCCGCGCTGGGGGACCGACCGCCGACGAACCCACCCGTCGGCCGAGGAACCGAACTTCAAGTCCAGCACGGCAGTGGGCGGCGGCGGCGGCGGGCGGGGCAGCGTGGCGGCGCGCGGGCGCGAGAGGGGCGGCAGGCCATCTCCTTCGCCCCCACCGGCTCCGAGAGAACAGAACAGGGGAGGACACAAGAAGGCAGAACAGCAAACAGCAGCAAACAGAAAGGGGAGAGACGAGGGACAACAACAAGCGAGGGGGAGAGATCAGCAGGAGGAGCAGGCCAAGGGAACCGCGGAGAGCAAAAAAACGAGGACGAGGAGGGGACGAAACCGACGGGTTCAGGGATGACCCTGATTTAGCCAAGACAAACCGTCCAGACACGAAACATGCTAGCCTTCAGTGGCAAAATGGACCTCGGAAAACCAGTCAGCCAACCCCAGAAGAGCCACTAGGGTCGCAAACATTGTAAACAGCATGCAGGAGGAGGATGTTCAAGGGAAGAGAATTGGGAGGACATAGAAAAACGGGGACCCAAAAAGGGCGGGGGGACTCTCAAGACCTCACCGAGGGGGAACAAAAAGAACGCGCGGAAGGGGGACGAGGGGGGGCCACGCCGAGCGGCCGCAACAAGGCGGAGCGAACGAAACGCTTCCAGCACTTTGGGACGACGGCGAAACAATTGCCTCAACCGCGTTTTGACCAGGAAGTCCCCAGAGACCTGGGGGCCCGTGTGGCGGGCGTCGTGGGCCGACAGAGAACCATCGATCAGAGCACACCCCACTAGGTCACGAGACATCCCCCACTGTGGCACAGGACAACAGAACGCTAAAAGTTCATCCGCACCTTCCAACCACTCTATCCAAGACACCAGAAGTCAACCACGGGGAAAGATACCGATCAGACAACCCTCGAGGTTCAGGCAACCACGATAAAGCCGAAGGTCGTAGCCTGAAGCCTCCCCCATACAACCAGAGGCGCAGCCTAACATAATCGTGAGAAGTCTGCTCGAAGTGCATGCCCCTCGACACAGGGCCCTGCGGACGCCTATCACGAGGTGCATCATGCTGTCTTTCCCTACTAGTCGCATCCCCCTGGCCAGGAACTAGAAATCGGCGGCTGGAAAACGGCCTGGCCCAACCCACTTAGACACCCTCGAGGCCAGGGAGCGGAGCGGAACCAAAGGGTCACGGAGAGCTTTCGAACGCTGCATGGCCTTCTCTTTTTTTCCTGGAGCTGTTGCCTAGAGGTGGAAGTGAGCGCGGTAACTGGAGAGTCCCCGATTTCGCCCACCGTCGCCCCGATCCCAGGCTGTCTCCACCAAGACCACCTCGTCCGAGCAGGGGTAAACCCATCGCCATCCAGAGAAGCCGCTAACGCCTCGACATGATACTGCATAACATCCAGACCAGAGCACGACATCAGGATCCGAAACTTGATGGATTTCGAGAGACAGTCGACGTCCAAAACTTCCAGGGAGGCTCCGAGGCACGAAGTCAAGTCAACACCTCCCGGGAGAAGGCCACTTCGAGGGCCACCCGTACTCAACTGTGACGCTTCGTTATAAGCTCTCCGTAGCTGCTTCGTCACAGGGCACAACTGCAGTTGGCTGGCCTGCCTGGACATGCAGCGGGAGTGGAAGAATCGGATCGCCCGCGGGGGGGGGCCAGCCCTCGACCACGAAACCTCCGAAGTGTCATCCAGAACTTCGGCATCACATCACTCCGAAATTTCGATGGGGCGCCAAGCCCCAACCAGAATCCAAAAAACAGAACCGCACGAACAGAACCGATAACCCGGGCAAAACTGTTCCTCCGCAAATCATCGGTGAGCTGCTCTGGTTTCAATGCCCTTGTTACTACCACCTCGCACTTAGGCACGGCCAATCCCAGCCCGACCGCCCCTTCATGGGAGAGAAGCAACTGCGAGGTCAGCTCGAGACCAGAGAGGGAGGATGTCGGGGAGGCAAGGGCAAAAGTCACCCGCGCAGCCTCGCCTCCGCTGCGCGCGCCCCATCAACCTCACCGTCATCCATCCCAGAACAAGGTCCAAGGCATACACGCAGACAGTAACATCGGCCCCAGGAAAATCAATCACGGCAATGCAATCTCCAAAAGGCTCCACGTGGAAGCCACCAACTTCATCGGGGACAGCCAAGGAGCCACGCAATGATCAGCGAGGGGAAGGCCACCGCGAAGCCAGTAGAGAACATACCAGAGCGGCCCCCATCCGTCAGCATCTGGCGGGGGCCCCACCATTCGATCTCGAGAACGTTGTCCATGAGCCCCCACCCTAGAGCCACCCCGCGCCGGATCGGGCCGACCGTCGTCTGCCAATCGAGAAAGCATCACTCAGACGATTCGCACCCGCGTTGGCAGGGGTCACGGGGGCAAGACTTACCGGGGGCGTGCGCCAGTTCAGCGGGGCCCCCGTCTTCCTACAAGCCTTTCGGCAAGGGACACATGAAACCCATTCTCGCACACGCTGACACCGCCCCTCCAGGGGCGTCAAACATCTCAGATTACGCACCAACGAGAAAAACAACAACTCCACCCGCCTTCCAACACCCACACGGGATCCCGCCCACCCCTGGGGCAGAGCGGCGCTTACGACAAGCCCTCTCAACAAACGAAGCGATCTCCAAGCGCCATGGCGCACGCTCGATCGGCATGGGTTGCGCACGCCCCATGCTCTCAGACTAGAGAAAGCGATCAGGTTCCTGACGCTCGAGAATTGCCCGACGCATCGGGGGACGGGCTGACATTACCATCTGGGTCCAGGGCCCCAGGCAGCCCATGCCGCCTGCGCGTCCCAGCCCAAGCCCACCGCAAGCGTCGAGTCCGCGCCGTCTTGTTGCCCTGCGCATTCTGCCCCCCCAAAGCCAGCAACATCCGAACAAAGCCCCCCTCGGGTTCAAAGCGCAGGAGCCGCCGGGGGCAGGTCATCATGGCCTCGACGCCATCACTGCGAGACGCAGACGTTCACTCTGGGACTTCGGGGGCAGACGACGCAAGCGAGCGCTGAAAACCGGAACAATCTGCCAGGCGATCTCCTCGACACGAGCAAGCGCGCCCCTGGGGGAAAGCCGCGGGCTACAAGAGAGCCCCAGCGCAACTCACGCTGGGAGATCCACTCTGGGATCTGGGTGGGCAAAGCGGAGGGGGCCCTCGTCGAACTAGCGGCAGCGACTGGGTCGCGGTCCGAGGGCGCCCAACTCCTGACAGCATGACCGACTCATCGACTGTGGCCAGGAGACAATTCAGCACCGGCGCAGAGAGCGCGAGGCGCAGACGCGATCCAGACGAGCCGCCACGCGCACTGCGCCCGCAAAGACATCCCTCCGCGTGGGATCTGGCTGGCACAGCCCAGCCCAAGAACTGCATTCACGAAAATATCTGCGCGCTGCCGACCTCCTGCCAGCCACGCCCCGCCCGTCTTAAACATGCCCTCCTCAACCCACGTGAAATTTTAATCCCCTGCTAAAGCGCCCATAACATGGGCCGCAGGACGGAGAATCCGCCGATCCGGCGTGGGAGTTTAAGGGGGTGGGGGTGACCGGGGTGGCATTGTCGGGACGGGGGAAGGGGGGGGGGGGGGCGCCCGGCGGCGCGGGTTCTGGTGGCGTGGGGGGGGGGGGATGGGGGGGACGGGGGAGGTTCCGGTGGCGTGGGTTCTGGTGGCGCGCGGGAGGGGGGGTGGTTCCGGTGGCATGGGTTTGCTGCACAAACCATTGGATTTCCTTAGAAACCGCGTCAGAACGCTTGGTTGCCAGGAAGAGGCGGGGGGGGAGGGGGAAGGTTCCGGTGGCGCGGGTTCTGGCGGCGCGCGGGGGGGGGGGGCCGGCGGCGCGGGTTCTGGCAGCGCGGGGTGGGGGGGGTCTGGTGGCGCGGGCTTGCTTTCAAAACCATTGGTTTTCCATGGAAATCGCCACAGAACGCTTGGTTTGCCGGAGAGGAGGCGGGGGGGGCGGGCGGTTTCTCGGTGTGTTTTTGCACATGGACCCTCTGTAGATGCGCTCAGGGGCGGCGCGCAGGCACTGCAGCTTTGCGCGTGGGGGGTCGCCCCCAGCAACCTGGATCGGCGGCACTGGCCGAAGGCCATTTGAATAGCCTGACTCAACCCCAAGCACGTGCGATACACCCCGACAGGGTCGGAAGTCGCGGGCAAGCGCGCATTCGCAATCACGACGTCCGAACTCCCCCCAGCAGACGCGAAGCCGACATCCAACCAGGGACGACCACATGAGAAGTACACGCGTCAAATTGCGCCATCAGCCCACTAGACAATACTGCGACCACTCGCCCGCCAGCAGACGGGGAAATCATGGAATCATGCACGACAAAATCCCGACAACGATCGTCACGCCCGAGCATATCGCTGCCTGCGCGCGCGGAGTGCGCCTCCCGTAAGTACACAACGGCGAATTTGCCGACGGGCTGGAGCATTTTCGCGCACCGCGCGCCCGCAAGTGGCGAGGACGTAGCATAAGACGAGAATAAGACGACGCAGGTGCTCCAGGCACATATGGAGAGAGAAGAAACAGGAGAGAAAACACCGTTCCCCCCAGAGGCAGGGTCACCAAGTGCGAACCCACCTCCCGAATTCAAGTTCAAACTCAGGTTGGTTGACAGCCCCATTCTGGCTGGCCAGGGGCGCGCAGGTCCTCGCCAGACAGCCCTCAACCCGATGGGAGACCAGGGCCCGAGGAGAGCGCGAGAACATGCCAGACGGAGCGCCCGAGGTCCCATGGCAGGATGCGGCGCAGTTGGTCAGAAAGTGTACGAACGCAGTCCGCGTGGGCCTCTTCACTGGAGTTACTCAAACCTTTAGGGCCAGGCAGGGGACCCGGCACACCAGACTCAGAGACCGTGACTTTCGCCACCACGACAGGGTGCACAAGGGCTTTGAGACCGTAGACCTACCCTCCGAGCCCGTTGCGCCCGACCTGGTACTCACCTAGCACTTTGCCAGTGGCAATCCCGCTCTGACCGAGATAATAGAAGAGCTTTCGGCGGGAAGGGGGAGGCCCCGACGCACGCGAAGCCCCCAACCAAGACAATCAATGGGGTTCTGATATACCGCCCCCCCGATGCTCTAGCTCTTCCCGAAGAAAGAGGAAGAGGCGAGGGTGGATGGGAAGTCGAGAATCACCTTACTAGCCAGAGAGTGCGCACGCACGATCGGCTCTTCTACAGTGGGACTGCACTGGGCGATGATAGGCAGGACTGCGCCCTGCAACGCAGCCTCCAGGAGGGGTTTCTCAAACCCGAGCCCCCACGATCGCAAATTCCGGCCGAATCGGCACGGGCCGATAACCCTGGCGAAAGCATTGCCCCCAGGTCCTTCAGCCGAGCTTTTATGATCTCATACATGGACGTGACCTCAGCATCTGCGTCGATCACACCTGGTGGATGGCCAAGTCGTGGGCACGCTTGGTTTCTGCAAAACGTTCCTCCAGACGAACTGCCACCCTCGCAAGCGCACCCTGCATACGATCGAAATTCGCACCGAGGGTAGTCATCTGGCTCATGCACAATTCAAACTCTGCTGTGCGAGTGGCGAACACTTGACGAACGAGACCCTGGACCTTCGAAATCTGGGACGCGGGCACGCGGACGTCACCGAAATGTACCTGCGGGGCGACGGCGCGGCGAGAAGAATCACTGGCCCCAAGTGGGCTCTCAGACGCAGGCGGCGACCCTGGCGAAACCATCCCCGCCTTGGCTGGAGAGCTGGGCAGAAAGGAGGAGCAGCCGCGGCGGGCCGCGGCGAGGCGGGAGCAGGAAGACCCGAGGAGCGGGTCGGGGGGAGCGCCAGGCCGAGCGGGTCGCGCAGAACGCCCTGAGCCGACACGGCCTGAGCCAACATGGCTTGAGCCAAAATTTGAGACGGGAAAGGAGGAGGAGGAGGAGGAGGAGGAGGAGGAGGAGGGAGGAGGAGGAGGAGGAGCAGGGGAGGAGAGGAGGGGGAGAACCAGCAGGAGCAGGAGAAGGAGGAGGAGGAGGAGGAGGAAGCGTCGGAGGAGAGCCGGGGGCAAGGCCGGAGAAGGGCAAAGACGGGGGGCGAGGACGAGGATGAAAGAGGACTCGGATCTAGAAGTGTGGCCCGCGCTGGGGCGGGAGCGCCATGCTGAACGGCGGGGACCAAGCACCGATCCTGAGCTGAGGCCAACGCTGCAGCGGGAACACCATGTTGGAAGAAGCCCTCAGTGCAAAAGGAGACACCTAGAACTGAATCGGCTTTTGAAGTCCTGTGTACAAAATATGTGGAAGGCTGGGGGGCCTGCTCGGAGAGAGTCCAGGGATATCAGAAAGTAATTGTTACACTGAGCAGTTGTGAACAGGGGGGGGAAATCAAGGATCGAGGGACGCGGGACAAGGCTCCAGTGAAGAAGGAAGCAGGGAAGGAGGGGGAGGGAGGAGAAAGGAGGGAAGGAAAGACGAGGGACGGGGGGCGAGGGACGCGGGACCAGGGACCCGGGACGAGGGGCGAGGGGTGACGGAGGAAGGAAGAAGAAGGAGGAGGGAGGCGAGAACAAGGGCCGAGAAGTGGGAACGAGGGCGAGCGAGGAGGGAGTACAGGCAAGGCAGGAGCGAGGAGAGAGAGAAGAGAGGAGGGACGAGGGCCGAGGGAGGGCGGGAGCGAGGATGGAGGCGGGAGGGAGGAGGGAGGCGGGAGGCCAAGAGGAGGAGTTGCGCGGGGAGAGGGTGAGGTAGCAGGAAGGTGGGACGAGGAGTGGAGGAGGAGGACGGGAGCAGCAGCGGCGGCGACAACGACGGCGACGAGGACGAGGAGGACAAGAAGCAGCAGGAAACCACATGCGTTTACTAGTCCCGCCTCTCCCCCCGGCTTTCACAAGGGTGGAGGGATATTCGAGGGCTCCAGTCGATCGACAGACTAGCCCGCAACTTTGAGGCTTCAAGGAAGAGGAGGAGGATGTGGAGGAGGAGATGGAGGAGGAGGAGGAGGAGGACGACGACGACGACGACGACGGCGAGGTCGAGAAGGCAAGGATGGCGACAACTGTGGCGACGACGACGGCGACGACAATGATGTCGACAGCGATGGCGTCGACGAGGAGCCTCCGATTGTACCTGAAGTGCCACTCGTGGCTGGGAGACGGGCACTCGCCCTCGTCGTCCTCGTCCGCGCCCACTCCCATGACTGGGAGGCAGGCCCTCGTCACCCCCCTGGCCCCGCCTCCGCCCTCATCCCTCTTCATTTGCTCTTGCTTCATCGCTGAGCCAACGCAGGCTATCGGGTATCAACGTCTGTTTTGGTGTTGCTCCCCCCCTCCTTGCACTCCTCCTCTTCCTCCTTCTCCTCCTCCTCCCCCTCCTCCTCCCCCTCCTCCCCCTCTTCATAGTATGTTTCC